AAAAAAGACGTAATGTTTAAATCTAAATCACTAAAAATGACAATTAAAGTACTAGGGCATAATAATATTATGTTACAGTCGTTCTGGGTATTTTTGACTTGCATTCGACAGTTTGAATTTTAAATGAAGTACGCTGTGATATGGATAAGAAAAGCGTATTTCGAACTTCTAAAAAAATACCAAATCCTTTTGCGTTTCGATTCCTTAAAAATATTTAGCGCCTACAATATTTGTTTAATGAGATGGTATGGTCACGTGAAAAGGAAGCTGAGATGGTATGGTCACGTGAAAAGGAAGCTACCTGACTACGTTGGAAATTTGGCGCTACTGCTCGACCTCCCCGGTCGGAGACCTAGAGGTAGACCCAGGACAAGGTGGAGGGACGTAGTGCTGAAGGACAAGAGAGAATGCAATGTTGCTGACGAGGATGTCGAAGACAGAGCGAAGTGGAGGAGTAAAGTCAGGAAAGCTGACCCCACCACCATGTGGGATAAATAGCTGGGAAGAGAGAGAGAATATTTGTTTAAGGATCGGATAACTAATTCACAAATGACTCGTCTGCACATTAAGTTGGATTAACATCTGTTTAACACGCTTAACTCTAAAAGACAAAGTAATTCATACTCACGACACCCGCCTCAAAACAATATGTAAATTCAAACTGTCGAACATAAATATAATCATCAAACACGTAAACTGTATAATAATATTACACGATGTCTTACATCTGATCTTGTTCCACCCTAAAACTATTAAAGTCACAAAATAATTTATTTAAAAAAATCAACATAATAATTACCATACAAACCGTATGTACGAAAACTATCTAACATAAAAAAACAGTAGAAAGAAAAACAGAAGTTCAGAAAAGAGAGTGCTTGTACATCATGCAATACCATTTAATTTACGACGCGACGGGAGTTAGAATACTGTTATTATACTGTGTTCCGTGTGGCCGATGTGAATCCGAACTGCGAATGCTGCATGGCCTTATGTAGTATATTACTTATTATATTGTAATATTATAGATGTAGTTTTACTTAATTTTTTTCTTAAGTATTAAAAACAAAACTCAATGGTAGAGTTAACATTTTCTTTTACATTTTGACATTCAACAAGTGTGTTTTTGATGACATCCAAGTTGAAAAAAATGATTTTGAATTTGAATTTGAATTCAATATTCGATACTTAAGAACGATAATAATATATGAAGCGAAATTATTTTTAAATTATAATGTTTCATGCAATGCCAAATTGTTTTGTAATAAGAATTTGTAAGCAAGCCTCTAGTCATGAGGCGTCTTAATTTCTAAGTTAATTTCTGAACACATTTATAATATTTTGCACTAGTTTTTACATTTTCCCGTTTTTTTCAAAATCAGTTTTGCGACTCTTCCGCTTACAAATTTACCATGTTTGATCAATTTTTGTTGTAAGTAGACTAAGTCATACCGAATGATTGAAATACAAAAACAGCTTAAAAATGATTAAAGTTTTAAATGTAACTCCTCCTGTTAATCGCTGGACGAGTAAGCATTTCGTACTAAACATCACAATGACACTGACATAGTCTGTAGCAAAGGCGATGACGACATTTTATTCATAAGCGAAATCATTTGGCACTTACAGAAGGAGCGTAATTTCGGCACCACTAAACTGTCATTCTGTGATTTAAACTTACTAAGATCGAGCTAAGCAGTGTAAGAAAAGAAAAAAAAACATTTTTTTGCTTATTTTAAATTTCTCCAGCATCAATTCACCAGTGAGCTTTGAATTTTTATTTTAATATGTATCGCTCAATATTATCATGTAAATGAAAATAAAATATAATGTATGTTTTTCCAATTCCAAAATTTAAAATGAAACCATTATTTTTCACTCATTTGATTAATACTAAAACACAAATCTATCTGACGTATGCAATCAAATTATCAGAAATACTTATCCATGTTTACTATTATTTATTATTTAACTATCATCTTAATACGTAGCGTTTTTTTTTTGTTTTCATTTCGTTTTAATCTCAGGCCCTATTCAAAATAAACTTTTTTGTATGAATACCTTGGGCCCGATTGAAATGCGTTTTCGACCTAGAATTTCGTCAGACGGAGCCGTAACGAAAAAAGTCGGGCGGCTTAAGCAGAAAATCACACGCACATACAAGTAATCTAAGCAGAATCAAACGTATGATGCAAACATAATTTAACGCATTTATTTTTGCATTATTCTAACATCAGAGTGAAACATCATGATTTGGACACTACGAAACCGTCATTCTGTAGCAAGGAATTGTCGTAGTCCGGGCCAGCAGCTTGAACTAGTATGTCTTAATATACATAGATAACGAATGCGCCACAAAAGCATGTTCCTGTCTTGTTCCTAAGTGTATGCGATTAGTTAACGCGGTGAATGTGGTTAACATTGCTCGCTACGTAACAGCGTCTAAGCTGCGAGGGGTCTATGTGTGGCGCGGCAATTCCAACGAGCATCCCTGTAGCTTTCAGAGGGTTTTAGCGTTTTAGGTTGATCTTTCGAACGGTGTTCAGTGTGTTTAGTGCGAGTTTTTTAACGTTTTCGATAGCGTAACAGTTAACTCAAATTTGTATGTAGTTGGAGCAGCGCCTCTCAAAAATTTAACAGAAGACGCTATCGATTATTTCACAAACTGTAAATTTAAATTATAACCACGCAGTGTAGACGAATGCCATACGATAAATAAATAAATAAATAAGCGCCCCTAGCGGCAAACGTGGGCAAACGTTCCCATACTAATACTCCATACAAATTTGAGTTAACGTTTACGCTATCGAGTACGTTAAAGCACTCGCACTAAGCACAGAGTATCAGCGTCACTGAGAAGGGAAAAACCAGCCAAGTTAAACATTTTTGGACATCCTCAATAGTGCGCACAATTCGTCACGCAAAGTCTGACAGATATTTTACAAAGCACGAGGGCGGCCAACGAGCTTGTGTTCTTGGTTCTGAGCTTTTCCTACTCATATTTGATTTCATACAAAAAATGACGGTTCGAATGTCGCTAATCTTGATCTCACGGTATCGTTTGATATCTCTGCGACTGCAGAAGCTTTAGTGCCGTCTGTTTTTTATACCGTATGTTCCACTGGGAATTATCTGTTTAGATTTCTAATTCCGTCATTTTCTCTCCATTATATCTACACACAGCTTCTACTATTTAAAATCACGCATTTATCAGTTGAGCGTTTTTCAACATTTTTCTTTTGTTAAGCACTATCCTCTCAGTAGGCTGCGGCTTGCTGGCGCCTTTGGCATTGCTGATGTCCACGAGCAACGAATACTACTAGACATAAAGTGATCTGCATGCTCGTCTACCTTCGAAGCCTAAATATTAAATGCTTATTGAATTTTAAAACATCCTCAATTCATAGTACCGTATTTAGAAAGCTTAGTCGTGTTAGGTTTGCATTAGTAAATGTACAGCCTGATTTATCATAACCATACGGACGCGTAGCAGGCAAGGGCGGATCCAGCTTTGTCGCCAGAAGGGAATCACATAGTCAAATTTAGATGCGTTCGTTCCCAAACGTTTGCCATTATACAAAGTTATTATATTATATTAAATTAATTAAATATTGAAGGTATGTAGTTACATAAAATCTGTATGGTGACAAAATATATAAATAAAATCATTATATTCAATTAGTGGTCCACCTAAGTCCTGCACCCAGCTCAGGGGGTGGTCATGACCCCCGTGACCCTCCCCCTGGATCCGCCATTGGTAGCAGGGGATAGAGGTCACGTGATTCATATCCAAGCTGTATATATGTTTAATGCCAAAACCGTACCGCGACAAAATGAATTATAGTCTATTAACTATTTTATCTTGCAGCGCCAATCTGTTCCAATTAGGAAATTGACGGCACCATCGAATAACTTCAAATCATCACGTGCGAAAATCGCTATAGAAAAGCCTTAGATTATAGGAAGTGTAGAGAAAAGTATTAAATAGTGTGTATAGTAATAAATTTATACGTGTAAATAAATTATATTATGTATCAATCTGTTAAATAAAGTACGATAATATGTATTTTATTTAATGCAATCAAAGGACGGAACGTTAATAATTGAGAGAGAACGAATTGTACTCGTTTTGTTATTTATCTGATGAAAATTGAAATAGAAATATATTATCTGAACACTTTAAAACGCGGCTGACGATTCGGGAGAATTTAGGCACAACAATTTCGAATCAAAAATCAGTTTTTATAAATGAGTCACAGCCACTCGTCAAAATACTTCACATAATAAATACTACATGAATTATTTTATAGTTGTTTATTATTATTATAATTAAATGATATTATTATTTGTAGCCTCTTCTAGAATTAAACACCCTGTTAGGCAACATTGCTATTATTCCACAATGGTGTTCACAAATTTAGCATTTTATTTTTATTTTTGCGTATTTTTTTCAATTCAGAAGACACACAAATATATGTTTTGTGACATCTAAAATTTTAATGTATCTATGTGAAGTATTTTTCTTGTGTTCGATCTCCTAACCTAAATACTACGTGTAATATAGAAGAAATGTCAATCTCTGAAACGGGTAAACTGTATTCTTAGGCTCATAAAATCTAGTAATTTGTACAATACCTAAAGCCTAATAAGAAAAGTCTTAAATATTTGCCCGTCAAGTTTTGGGCTAATTTACTTAAAGTCTATACTTTTTTTTGGGAATTTAATACAGTTATAAAAAGCTCCTCGTCTATGCCAGATAAAACCATTTCAATTACATGTACGGTGTTCTTAAGATTATCGACAATATATTTGTTAAGAAATTGACCACTTCAACTATGTGACTCATCGAATGATAACGAATTATTGAAAAAACTATTAATCAAGCAAGTAGTTTAGGTTCACTTTGACAATGTTATTTTTGCGGCATCCTTTTGACTGTTGACCGTACTTTTTCCGAGTAAGTTTGTTAGGGCAAGAAAAACCGACAAAAATTAATTAAATTTTTTTTTGTTTATCAAACCTTTGCCACAATGCGAATTTCGTTTTTATAATTCAGCTTCAATCAGTGTATTTTATAATTATTATAATATTTTATTGTTAATTGTATTGCCATCGTGCGTTTAGGATAAGTATTTCTGAACGAGCGGTCTATATCACGTTTATAAATCAATTCATTGTTATCTTAAAACATAAGCATTTTTGTCATTTATAATTGCCACGCGAATCTGTTTCATTCCCTCAGAGGCACCTACATTCTGTATTCATATCCCATTCTGTCAGTGCCTTCTTCTTCCTTTGATTTCGTGTTTAAAGCAATCACTACCTACATTGTTCTGATATAAATGAGGTGGCGCCATCTAGTCTAGCATTGTGTAGTTACATCGGAATGGCTTTTGGCCGTGATCTATGGAAGTCGGTTTGAAATTAGCTCCATGCTCCGTGTTACACAGCTATAAACTATTTTACCAACTTCTCGAAGAGAGGGAAAACACTGAATGTTTCGAACACGATTTCAGAAAATTGTTTATGCAACAGAAAGTTAGTGCAGCATAAGCCAACAAGAGCTATAATTTTATGATATTTAATAATGTAAACCATCATGACCAAAAACAAGAGATTCATTTATCTACGAACAAAATACTAAGAGTTTGTTAACAAATTCACTTTTACCGAATAAACTTTCAAAATCCATTAAAATATTCACCTCGAATTTTACACCTAACCTGGTGACGATCAAACTATAAGTGTTGCTTATTATTAAATTAATTAATCGACAAAATTTATTGTTTCATTTCATTTGTGAACTTTTTCACTATCACAACTAAATATCTATTCGAATCTAGTTATAATATGTATTATTTTATTAAATTCTCTGATCCAATTTATATATATATACTCTAAAACACTCGATAGTGGAAAAGTCATGCATAGTAATGAAAAATATATATTTAAATACATAGTTTAAATTAGTAAAGTATTAACTTTTATTAAATTTATCAGTGCATATTAATGTAATGTAAATATTGCACACACTAGATACATACAGAGCATAGAGAACGAGCATTTATCAAAGCATGCTTTTTTGTTCATTATAAGACGTAGTGCTATATGCGTGCAGGCTATAATAAACAATTTCATTAATATTGAAAAATGACGATTGTATTGAACAAAGCACGCCGAAGTTTCACATTGTCTATACCAATCTCATTCTTCCTGGTCTAAGTTTAACTGATAATTTTTTTATCGCTTCAATTTATAATGCCATACGTTCACAGCCCCTTGAATTCACAGCTTTTAATAAATATTATTTTGTAATGTGGCAACATCGTTAGGACCCGTCTACTGTACTGGCAACACTTACAAGGAACTTTTTTGGCAAGCATCTCGGTTCTTTCTTTTAATATTCGCAAGACTAACAATGCTTTGAGTGAAACTGAAAGCTGGTCGTAGCAGAAAACATGCTGAATTTCTTGTTATATCAATCGAATTGAATTAAAAATCTTTACAATTTAATCATACTACAAGAAATTACAATAGCAACGTTACATTCTATAATTTATATATTATGTATGTGAAGTAGGGTAAACTATAGTATTATTAGCACAACCTATGTATACTTGTTTAGTATTATAACAACTCAACATCGATTTTAATATAAAAAATTTGCCCTTGTTTTTGAAATTTTTTATGATTATTTTTAACGATAACTTGTTTTGTTACTATGAACAGTGAATAAAACGCCTTATGTATCTAATTTACAGTGCTTATAATTTTTTCTAGATTTTAACATTAGATTCCAAATAACTATACAGTTCACCCTATTTCTTGTACAAGTACACCTGATTATGCTTTTCGTAGGACATGAATAACTAATTAAGAATTTCATTATTATATCTCATTATTTCACACGCTGCATTGATGTCTGCGACAAAAACAATAGGCGGGACCAACGATAACACTAATCAAACAGTATGCAAGCGAAATTGGAAACGACAGACAAGCGACATTTACGAAAACATAAATAAAAAATAAAAAAAAACAAAACGAACGCACCGGCGCTGGTAAAATGCTTGAGCGTAATTCTAAACGATTTGAATACTGCTGTGGTGTATTGTTCTAAATTATTTTCAAAGTATTACAAAAGCTCTTTAATACTATCGCCAGTGCGGGTATGTATAATATTTATAAATATACTTTACACACGCAAAAAACTTTTTACAAGCGAATAACGCTCGATAATTCCTCGTTTAGGAACATAAATGAATCTTCCCACCATTCGTGTAATCACTTCAATATTATTCTGTTAAATATTATTTATATTTTAATTTGTATTATACAGTGACGCATTCAAACGCATTAACGATTGCAATAATATAATAATCCATAAATGTGTTATCTCTAGATATATTATCCTATTGTTACGAAATATGTTTATAAAAAACCAACTCTGTTAGTGAATGTTTGTACTTCAAGCCTTTCTAGTCACGCTGTCGAAATCCGAAATGAAACTTTCTATCTCACTCTTTATAATTCATCACTCATTCTATCTCACTCTAAGGTGAGCGCTTGACGATCACAAATGGTGTAACAAATTGGATTCCGATCTACGGGGTACATTAAAAAAAAAATCAGAGTCCAAACTTATTTGGTTTTTGCAACAGAGTTAGCAGTGCATTCGTAGTTGTGACGTCACGATTCAATCTACTAAACCTGAAGTGATTACAAAAATTGATGTTTGGTACAATAAAAACTATTGTATATTATTGAGTATATGCTTAACGGGCTTTAGGTATTCTCCCGGATAAGTTTTTGCTTAAAAATCAAATTCTTAATTCTCTTTAAGGGCAGAGTTATGATAACGTAATTATTATTTAGTGTAAATCAATATAAGAATATTTTGTTATATTCATTTTATTAAGTATATTATTCATTTTACATGTTACTGTGTATACGGCTTGGATATGATCGTTTAAACTTCTTTTACCTCAATTAAATTCGCGCTCATTACAAACCGCGGTTTTTTTTTGTATAGATTCAGGTGAATTCATACATAATAATTTAGTTTTACACAAACATTCGTGACTTAAAATCGCACAAAAAAAAAATCACAGCTTTAAAAAAAGAAAAGGAAGACAGAAAACGAAAAATAAAATCTAAAATTCCTCATTTCTTTTCAAACAAAACCTACGATACATACATCATCCTAAATCTACGAAATGACAAGAGGATGAGTTTTAAACGTTGACATAACGTCGAAAATAATAATTAAGATCGGACAATACTGATCCTTATATCAATTTACACTAGGGCGAGAGTGGCTTGAACGGTTCGCGGCCTCATTTCTTTGTGGGCGTCCCGCGCTGGGTGAGGCCTTCGAAACGTTTGAACGTGTAGTTTATGAACACCCAATCTTTGTACGCTACTTCGCCTTCTTGGCTGGTTGGTGCGGCAGCTGAAACAAAAACATTAAAAGGCACAGATTAAACATTACTGGTCAATAGCAAATAAGTACTGGACATAAGAAGTAGGTCAGGTTTGAGCCCCGTGAGCTCACCTACTAGCCCGGTAACGCTGATATGGTTCCCTAGACCATCAGCATAAATAGAAAAAAGAAAAAATAATTTTGAAACAATTCATTTCTTAAACAAAAACCGCTTATTAATTACAAAAAGTGCAGCATCAAAGTAATCTGTCGGTACAAAAATATTATATAAAAAGAAAAACAATTAACCTACCCGCGTGGACTCACAAGAGGTCCTGCCACCAGTAATTACGCAAACTATAATCTTGCAGGTATCATTTTTATTACAGGACGATATTCCTTTAACGTGAAAGTCAATTGTGAACGTTTGTGAAGTACGTATTTCATTAGAAAAATTGGTAGCCGCCTGCGGGATTCGAACACCGGTGCATCGCTACATACGAATTCACCGGACGTTTTATCTTTTAGGCCACGACGAATATTTTTCAATTTAAAGTTTATAATACATTAGCGACTATATATAAACGGCTTGAGTTACACTGCACAAGATAGCTCACAGTCTGATCAAAGTTGGCTATTTTTTTTTTGCTCCTATAGGCCATCGATCTTACGGCCCACCTGATGGTGAGTGGCTACCGTCGCCCATGGCCTTCAGTAATGCCAGCTGAGCCAAGCCGCCGCCCACTAACTAACAGTGTACAACTTACGTATCTCGAGCTTCACGTCCGGGAAATCGTCGAAGTTGGATGTGTCGTCTATGGAGCGCACTTCTACGGATATAGCCGCCGGCCGCTCCCTGACGTGCGACCAGTCGACGCCGCGGAAGAAGGACACCGACTTTACGTCTTCTATGCCGCGCTGCGATCCCAATCTGCAATGTAATTAAAAACTATACAGGGTGATATTTTTGGGCTGTACAGCAGACCGTAACAGGAAATATATATATGACTAGCGCGACCCGCCCTCGCTTCGCATTGGAAACATTAAATTTTATTATTGATAGCTGAGTCCAGCAATGTTATGTCCCGCCGTACCGCGGGTAACGCCGCGGGGCAAAGCTAGTCTAAAAAAGTAAAGCCTAAGTTACTCCTTATATCATCAGCTACCTATCAGTGAAAGTCTTGTCAAAATCGGTCCGGCCGTTCCAGAGATTAGCCGGAACAAACAAACAACAGACAGAAATTGTAAAAAATGCTATGTTGGTGTAAACTAAGTGCGAATACCCTTCGAGTTACAAACTCTAACGCTGTTATTATGGACATCAAGCAATCGTATGAATAAAAATATTGAGTTTTTACTAAATCGAACGAGACATGTCGTTTATTTTATATCAATAATTAATACTTTAAACAAATCGTGGCATTCGTAATTTGAAAGAGATATAATCGTGTAAGCACGATTAGTTTCACTTTATTGGCTCCAGTAACCACTTTAAACTAGTTAAAAGAATATTCTAGATCACATAGTTGGACTAACATTGCATTAAACAGCAATTAGCTTTCAAATTAAACATTCTCACCTGCGATCGGGTTCCGAACAGAAACGCAATATCGTCTCTCTCGCTTCCTCGCTGATGGGAACCTCGGGGGGGAAAGTCAAGGATTCACGCCAGGACATAACTTTTCTGTACGTCTCCTGGGGTGATTCGGAGCAAAACGGCGGGTAGCCGATCAGCATTTCGTACCTGAAGCAATGATAACGCCATCTCGAATACGAATTTCGTAACCTTTGTTTGCTGCTACTAAACAACAACAGACGATCAAATAAATGTGTTTATAGAATTCTAACAATCGCATGTTCGAAAAAAAAAACAACTCTGTTACAAAGTAAATGTACCTATAGTAGATTTATTTTGTCCGTGCAGTTTGGGTCATAAAACATAGGCCGGCTAGGGCGGTAAGCATGTTGCGCGGGCGCAACGCCATTATCGATAAAAACAAATGAGTCATCGAGGGCACCTTACACGGCGGTGGGATGGTATACGAAGGGTGGTGAGACATTGTTATGTTATGAGTCATTTGGACTCACCTGCAAATTATAGTACATTATATCGAAGAGAAATGTGTTTTTATGCATTCGTTCTCTGAATTTCTTTAGTGACCCAATGGTTACTCCTTTGTTTTGTATCAAGACGGCAGAATTTATTCAAAATAATATTTGCACGTGTTGTTATCAACAATGTGTTAAAAATTTTCACTGAAATAAGAATAGATCCCGAAAAGTTACAAAGTGTTAATTTCTGCCGTTCTCGTTAACTTGCTGCGGCGATATGTGGTGTAAGTGTTCGATTAGTGATTTTTCTTTCATTTTTATCACTAACCCACAAAATGACAAAACTAAATACACTATCGATAACGCTTATCGACAACAATAATGCGCATTACTATGCCCGTCCATAAGGCTCGTGAGTGGAAGAGAGAGCGAAATACTCGCTTCACCTCTCCGATTTTTTATGACCCAAACTGCACGGACAAAATAATTCTACTATAGTTAATAATATTATTAATTTAAATAAACCTCTTTTATATCGTATTGCATCTTAATTTCACTATTCAAGTTTGTATTGACAAATTTTACACCCTTTATTAGTTCGACATTGGTGACTGTTTAAAGTTAAAGAAAGGGTGTTGTTTTAATTATTCTGTATCAAATTATTAATTGAACATTTCGTTTGAAAGGCAGCGGTAAAGGCGCAATAAAGTCGATTTTTCTACTATTAATAATAATATTAAAACTTGAGGAGTCGTTTTTTATTCTCAACGTTCGATTCTACGAAATTTTTTTCATAACGAGACTATTAAATCACACTTGAACAGGCTTACACGCACAAAAGGCATTAGCGAAATAGAACGCAAGGCTTGCTAGGGTATATTCTAATTATACAATAATACTAGTAACAGTATTGGTATACTTTTAAATGTTATTATTTATATACAAAGCGGTTTTAATTTTATTAGTTTTGGTAAAAAATTATATCCGCGACACTCTTCAGAGTATTAACAGAATCAGTGTACTTAGTGCGAGCTTTTTAACGTTCTCGATAGCGTAAAGTTAACTCAAACTTGTATGGAGTTGGTACAGCGCCCCTAGCGGCAAACGTAGTCATACGTTCAGACTCCATACAATTTTGAGTTAACTTTTACGCTATCGAGAACGTTAAAAAACTCGCACTAGCCACACAGAGCGGATTTTGAACTATTTTCATTTACTACAATTTGGACTTTTAATTACATTAAGCTAGGCACAGCAAGTATACATTGTCTATGTAATTTATGTGTCCATTAGAAGACAATGGTTCAGTTTTAAAAAGCTTTATCCTCGGCATGGAAATATTACTACATTCCCGGAGACCACTACCGGTTCACCATGACTGGTGGAATACCACGGCGGCTCAGCCGCAAGGGAGTTATGTACGAAGGCTAAATGAGGTGGGAGCTTTTCGTTATGCACAAGTGCGTTGCATACATTCAAATGCAATTTAAGAGTTCGCAGTTCGCTTTTGCTTCGTAAACGCGTTGGTCGCTTTTGCATGGATGTGGAAATGAATTCGCTTGATCCAGAACACGGAAATAATATGTGAGAATACCTAATCGATTTGGCAATTATGATTTCGTAAAAGTAACTAAAATTAGTTACTTTTCGTATCAGCTTCGATAGGTACTCTCATTTAGCAAATAATATTAATAAAGGCGTACAAAAAGAATCTAGTGGTTAAATGATCAAATAAAAAACTAAAATTTATTTCGGAGTGCAAGGATCAAAATCATAATATCAATGTTTCATCAATACATCAATATCAAAATCATGATAATATTAATGTTTTTTTATAAGCAATCTACCAATCCAACGGGTTAATAGTATTTATAGTTTATTAATATTTACATTACATATGTACAAATGTTCTGCAAACGTTGACCTTATGACCTTGATATTAATACGTTTCCGACCACTCACATAATGACCCCGAGGCTCCACCAGTCCGCTGCAGGGCCGTACCCAGTCTGAAGGAATACTTCGGGCGCTATGTAGTCAGGAGTACCGACGGTCGAGTAAGCTAATGCCCTTCGGTTCCGCTTCCACGATTCGGCTCTGCGCTTCGAATCCATCGCTGACGACGATGTTGATACTTGTGAAAAACATTACATCTTTAGTTTTTCGTTGCTTATAGGGTGGAACCAATAGATCGAGGCTATTTTAAGAGCTATGAGTGTACTCATATATCTATAGCATCTCATATATCCATGTATCTTTAAAAAAATCACCATATCTTTAAAAATAATTAGTCGGTGATAGGCAAAGCAATTAAGACTAATGGCATTTTACAAATCTGCTAATCAAATATAACGGAGTTTTTCTTTTTACAAAATCCCTCTGTCATACATTAACATACATTAATTGTGTATTCTCTTTTTTCTTTTAACTTAAGGTTTTCGCATCTTCCTTACAATATATTTTGATGAATAATAAAATTTAGCAATGAAAATGAGTGCAGTACATGAAAGTATCAAACTGATAATTTCGTAACAAGTAACTATAAAACTCTTAAGAAAATCTATCAAAATTATAATTCAAATTAGTAAATAAATTCATTAAATTCATTGAACTTACATGTGAGGAACTTACTGAAATCTGAGGGCGTTGCCCTGGACAGATCTCTGTAGAAGTCCGTTCTGTGACTCTTCTTCAAACCCGTGCACAGACCGAAGTCGCTCAATTTTATGTGTCCACGAGCGTCTAATAATAGGTTGTCGGGTTTTATGTCTCTGTTAAACAATAAATTAATTTATGAGATATGAAGTTTACAAAACATTATTTTAATATTTAATTTAGTATTTGGAATGTTCAATAGATTTTTCCAACTAGGTACATAGCTGGTGTCAGCTTCATTAAAGCTACTAAATTTATTCATAAAAAATCATATTAATATCAAAGATGATATCAATTAGGTCAGTTGATAAAATTCCGGAGATATACGGTTTTAATTTTTTTATAGAAATTTCTGAATCTCCTGTGATTACAAATATGAAAAAGAGTTCTATGAACCTTGATTGACTCACTTCTTTCTTTTCTGAACATAAGATTAGAATGAAATATTAAAAATGGAGCGAAAATGTTTAAAATGCATTGTTTTGTAAGCAAAACAAAAAACGTCATTAACCTACTGCTTATAACTGAAAATGTCTGTTATTTAACAAGCGTTAGTAAAATGACATGTTAAATTTTATTGATACGATCATCGATTAGCTATCTTATGATACCAAAAAGGATGACAACATTCAAATTCTGAAAGTGTACTATGGTAATTACTCGACAACAGAACATAAATTAATTAAAATGAACAATTTTCCCAGTGAACGAATGGACAATAAATAAGTAAAAATGTTTAAAAAATACCGTCAATTATGTTATACTAGCAGTCTCGGAGTAGTCGAAATTCGACTATAATTAATTGAAATTATAAGTTTGAACATTATTATGCTTCTAGTTACAGATTTCGCCAAAACCACACCATAGACAAATAATATTAAAGATAAACAATATTAACCTATTCTCAATTTGACCACAGACTTTAAGCAATAACAAAAGTTTGACAATAAACGAAGAGTATATAATTATATGCGTGTGTGTCAAATACATGGTAGTGTGTGTAATGTTTTTTTATGGATTTAATGTATTATTAATGCATAATATTACAAAAAATATTAGTATTCTGCACTCCTTCTCTATATTCTCTATAAGTGTAGCAAATTTCATACTCTTCCGTCCGCCCAATTTTCGTAAAAAGGGATACAAAGTTTTTGCTGCACGTATTAATATATAGATTACCTATGTATAAAGCCCAATTTGTGTATGCTGTCGATGGCCAGTGCAGTTTCCGCTACGTAGAACTGCGCGCACTCCTCGCTTAGGGTGTCCTTCTTCATGAGCAACGTCATCATGTCGCCGCCCGGCAAGAATTCCATTATGAGGTACAGGTTCATGGGGTCTTGGAAACTGTAGTACATCTTCACCACCCATTGGTGGTCGGCTTCTACCAGGATATCCCGTTCGGCTCGAACGTGAGCCACCTGTAAAGTATTATAACCATCTATACTAATATATAAACATACAGTGGTTTTTACGGATGTTCCGTTATAACTACTATACGATGCATCCCATTGACTTGAAACTTGGTATCCATGTAGAAAATATATGTACTTAATGGATAGGCTAATATTTATATGAGTGTTGGACTCCCTACACCAGTTGCGGGGGCGTTAATGATCAGAATCTTTGTGGGGGTGAGAAATAATAATGTTAATTTTAAATGCTCGGCGAAGCCGACGGGCACAGCCAGTATCGTATAATATTGTTCAGTATTGTTCGAAATGTTCATTCGAATCGAACGAAACGATCATCAGACCTGTCGTGCTGTATGTGTCTGAATGTTGGGCGACGAAAGTAAAGCATGAAAGAGGAGTGCATGCGACAGAGATGCGAATGTTGAGATGAATGTGTGGAGTGACAGGAATGGACAAGATAAAGAATAAGTATATCAGAGGAAGTGTGCAAGAAGCCCCGGTGATTGACAAATTAAAGAGCAGACGGTTAGCGTGTTATGGACATGTGATGCGTATAGAGAAGATGCATGTGGCTAAAAAATATATGGAAATGGTAGTGCAAAGTAGAAGGGGAAGAGATTGACCGAAGAAGACATGGATGGAGTGTGTGAATGACGATATGAGAGGGAGAGAGAGGAGTGAGTGTTGATTTGACAGCTGATAGAAGAGAATGGAAGAGAAAAAGTAGCAGTGTCGCCGCCACCTAGTGGGATAAGGTAAAGAAAAAGAAGAGTATTGTTCGAAATGTTAATAATGTAAATTCACATGTGTTGATGACTGTTGCCAACGTCATCTAACGTCATCTACTTTACTAGTAATACTGCCCCGCGACAACGACTTTTGCAAAGGTTGAATGACCTAAAATGTTATGTTAATAATAATCGTCTTTGCTAGGTGTGTTTTATTTGGCATTTGGGAGAAACGTGCAAATATTAATTGTAAATTTAGCTTTTGAGTTCATATAAAACAGTATCTTTACTTTTAAGTATAACATAAATATTACTTGTATATTTTATCTACAAATGCTGATTTCGAGTAAACACAAATTGAATTCGATAAAAACGTGCTTGTGTCAACAGTATACGACTACAGTCAAAGGGTTAGACTCTTGTTTAATAAAATATCTCTTTATTTCCGGTTCTAAAAAAAAATTAGCTTAAAAATACTTTAAAATATACCGACCTGTTCTTTCTCCAGCATATCGGCTTTCCGCAGTATCTTCATAGCGTAAACGTGTCCGGTGTCTTTCTTCTGCACAAGTCTTACTTCGCCGAAGGCACCTCTTCCTATAACCTGAAGATTAAAAAACATTCCCAATGTAATTTAAATTACTTAGTTTCTATATTAAGGTAGAATTAAAAAAAAAATTTTTTTTGTGAAGTATAAAATGTTTGCTAAGGAAAGAAGATAATTAAGGTCACAGTACACGCGTGAGAGATGACGGGAAGTAGGTATATAGCACAGTCACGGGTCAACAACTCAATTATTACATGTATCTTCCTCGGATTCAAACATCAAACATTTTTACTAGTGGTAGGACCTCTTGTGAGTCCATCACCCCGCCTATTTCTGCCGTGAATCAGTAATGCGTTTCGGTTTGAAGGGTGCGGCAGCCGTTGTATCCATATCGAGACCTCAGAACTTATATCTCAATATGGGTGGCGCATTTACGTTGTAGATGTCTATGGGCTCCAATAACCACTTAGCACCAGGTGGACTGTGAGCTCGTCCACCCAACTAAGCAACGAAAAAATAAAAAAATTCGCGATCACAAAGGAAACACGTAAAAATTCACAATTCAATAGTTCCCGTAACAAAATATCGTTATTTAATAGAAATTGTACATGAATGGAATTTTTTTTTTCACATTTACTTTTAAAAATGTACTAGTGTTTACTGATTTTTTTCAGGTCAAAGGATTTTAAACAACAGCCTGTACGACTGTTTGTTTATCAGAAGATACATACGGATGTGCAACGCCGGATTCGGTACTGTTATCACTTTAACATTTTACAATTCTAATTTACGAGTTTTTTTTTTATTGTCTTAGTCTCGGCCAGCTATCATATCATAGTTTTCATAAAAAGTTTTTTAATCATTGGACCTTTTTTTTTAATTAAACTCTCCCAAGTTTTGTCTTTAGAAATATTTTTAAATTTACGACATATTATATTAGGCTTTATGGTTTTTGTTTTTTAAATGGCTAATTTTTTTATGTTATTTAACACAAGTCCTCACCTTTAGCGGCTCGAAATCCTCAACACCGAGTCTCGAACGTTTGAGGCGAAGGAATTCAGTTTCCTTTTGGGCATGCTGTTGACGTTTTTCTTGCTTTTGGCTTTCGGAGAGGCTGTCGTCTTTCAACGACTCTTCTAGCTTCTCCAATCTACCGCACAAACGACAACGGGTGAAGAAGAAACACAAAATTTGAAACAAAAGAGGGTAGAGACACTTGAAGTTGTTCTTTTAAAAATAGCGGCCCTTGTGTCGGCGTGCTGAAGCCAATATGAATGCATCCAATAAGACTAATGTACCCTTTGTCACGATTCCTTCATAAATATTACTAAACCGATAATTTCTAGCGATGAGGCGATTAAAATATATTACCTAGTGGCCTAGTATTCTTAAATAGAAGAGTTCTGCTTTCACCTAACATTAAGAACAGAGTTTGGCGGTAATATTTTGTAGTTCAACGTGTCAAGGTATTTTTTCATCATATACTCAAAAGTGAAGCATTAATGCGTTTCGGCTTGAAGGGTGGGGCAGCCGTTGTAACTATACTGAGACCTTAGAACTCATGTCTCAGGGTGGGTCGCGGCATTTACGTTGTAGATGTCTATGAGCTCCAGTAACCACTTAACACCAGGTGGGCTGTGAGCTCGTCTACCTATCTAAACAATACAAAAATAAAAATAAAAACAGTCACGTTCCAACCCGGACCGTTGATAATTAGCAGGAGTATTTTGAAATAGCTAAAATTCGTACCTCTGCTTCCTCTCATAATGCTGCGAGATAAGATTGGTGTAAAAGTTCTCGAGCGTGACCTTAGCTTTGGTGGCCTTGTCTAATGTGTGCCCGCTGAACCGGATGTTATCCGTTCCGGTCATCTCCAGCACCCCTGGTTGAAAGAAGATATACATTACATAATAATAAATTTTAATTTAAAAAAAAAGAAGCTTGCCGCCAACTTTCAGTAAGATGTTCGAATATGTTCAAAATCCTGATAAGAAGCGTTTGTAAGCGCAATTGTTCCAGGGTAAACATATTCGCTTGCACTTGCGAAAAATCTTAATGCTAATGATTAAATCAAATGAATTTTTCATAAATCATTTCTAATAATAAACTGAAAACAAAAAAAGCACTTAAACAACAAACCGAAGTAACAATTAATTTCATAATTTCTTCATCCTGTTGATACTGGTCAGGATATTAGAGCAAACTTATAAAAAAAATTGTACGGTCATCGGTCTTTGATACGTTTTCAAAACGATATAAAACAAATCTGTACCAAATTTTCATGTTGATTGGATGTCTTATAAGTCGGTAAAAATGACGTTCTTTACATACAAACAAACGTATATTTGTACGTATGTATACACCAATACGTACTTACCAAGTTAATAAAATAATATTAAAAACCACGTGCCACGTTTAGTTTTAATTCAGATTTACACTTTGTTATGCGTAATTTAATTTTTTCATAAAAGTTGAAAGAGTTGTAACATAGAAGAAAATGTAGCTGATACTATTGGAAATATTGCGATTCCAATTGGAAACTGCATCAGAACGCTAATTAATTTAGATTGTATTAACCATTGTTCGAAGATGTACAATAAATAAAAACAAATAACAATTGATTTGTTTAACTGTGTGCATATTCAAGCGATGATACATACACAAATGGGTATAGACGTATTGTATATATATTGGAAACACTTATACCGGTATCTTTGATGACATGCTCTCAACTGCTACATTGAAAACTCATGAAGTTAAAGACGATAAAAGAGCATATTATGTTACCGGTCACCGTCCCCGTCGAGCCCTTCGTCGCAAGTGAATTAACCCATAGACACAGCCCACTGAGTTTCCCGCCGGATCTTTCAGTGGGTCGCGTATACGATCCGGTGGTAGATTCAGCGAAGCACTGCTCTTGCTAGGGCCAGTGTTAGCAACACACCCAATTTGAGCCTCGTGAGCTCACCTACACGTCAAGGAGAAGCTGATATAGCCTCTCAAGTATAGGTAGGAAAAAAAAGCAGACAGACTACACAAACTTTTTTCTTCATATTATGTGAGTAGTTTCCAATTAAAGCTGACGTATGGTGGAAGTCGACCATCGTGGGCTCCAACTTTTATCAAAAGACTGCGTCGTTGAAAAGTAAAAACTGAGCAAAGTGAATTTGAAGAAGTTTGAGTTTAGTTTCAACACCACAAAACCGCCCGAAGGAAATCACACAGAGATAAATTATGAGAACACACTGCACCAATGTTTTAGTCTCAATTTATTACTTAATAAGAGAGAGAATTTAATAAGAGAGTAACAAGTAGGAAAATAATAAGAGAGTTTTTCTTATGATTGGGGGATTACGGTGGCCCGGAGGCCTTTCCAGTTTCACCAGGACAGGTGGGCGATCTAAGGCTTAGCCAGGAGGGGTAGGATTTGCTAACAGAATAAGAGAGTAATAATTTAATAAGATTCTAAATCCAAAATCGTTTTTGCCTGGTGCTGTCTTCTAATTCTTAAGATACCATAAGATAAATTACTACTATGAGCTATGAGCTAAACACAGCTAAGAAAGAACTCCTGATCCACAGAGAACCAAATATAGCGACCTACTATAATGATGGATAATTATAAAATTAACAAACACTCATAGTTATTCGTTTATATGTGAATGTTAATTCAAATTTAAATAAATTAACAAACCAAACGTATAGTATTTACGTATTACCTCATTGATTTGTTTGTTATTGGTAGGTCAATGTATTACCAGACAAACACATTTTAAAAGACATCATTTCCTTATCCGCTCGGCAATTATAGTCACAAATAATATTAACAGTATAATCTATATATTAATACGTGAAGCAAAAACTTTGTATCTCTTTTAACGAAAATTGTGCGGACGGATGAGTATGAAATTTTCCACACTTATGGAGAATATAGAGAAGAAGCGCACAATGCTAATTTTTTTTTTAAATAATGAACAAAAGACACATTAAATCAATAAAGAAAACATTACACACACTACATACCATGTATTTGACGCACACACGCATGTATACAATTTATTGTCAAACTTTTGTTCTTGGCGTCTGTTGTCAAATTGAGAATAGATTAAATATTGTTTGCCTTTGTTAATATTTTTTATAGTGTAGTCTTGGCGAAATTGGTGATTGTAGAAGTATAAAATACAATCATAATAGTGTACAAACTTACAATTCCAATTAATTATAGTCGAATTTCGACTACTGCGCGGCCTCTAATAATTATAAATTAATGTTCCAAATAAAATAAACGTATTCAATTTACCTACGTGCAATGATAAAAATCTGTTATCATTATCTCATCTAATGATTCGACGCGTTAATAACATACGTGACCGGGAGCATTTTGTAATAATAACGCAACAAGTTAGTTTGTTACGATTAGTTAGAAATTAGTTCTCTGAATCATTCGTTTACTGACGAAATTCAACTAAATACTACGAATTTAGCCCTTCAACAGTTCGCATGTTTTACACTATCACCATATCAATTCATAAAGCGGACAACAGAACTAACGATATCATTTCTAGTTAAATAATATATCCATTATTCTATGATCGTGTTATAACTTATTTAGATGGTATTTAATACTGGTGGTAGGACCTATTGTGAGTCCGCACGGGTAAGTATCACCACCCTGCCTATTTCTGCCGTGAAGCAGTAATGCATTTCGGTTTGAAGGGTGGGGCAGCCGTTGTAACTATACTGAGATCTTAGAACTTATATCTCAAGGTGGGTGGCCCATTTACGTTGTAGACGTCTATGGGCTTCAGTGACCACTTAGCACCAGGTGGGCTGTGAGCTCGTCAACCCATCTATGCAATAAATAAAAATAAATAAATCTTTAATGCTTGGCTCTAATTGTAGTTTAAATGACACCTGCAACATGATATTCAATGTTATTGGTCAGGTCGTCTAATAAAAGTGACATAATCATCCTACTCTAAGCACGTAATATTTTATTCGTTAATTTTTGTGAGTTTTCTCGTAAATCATTATGAGGATAGCCATCATTGTGACGGTGCCACAAGCTCTCTGGTCAATGAATATACATTTTAGAAGTTATCCTCAGCAGCCGATATTTTCTAGGTCTAATCGTTTATGTTTTGAGCTCAGCATATTTCTTCCCTATTAATCTGTTTTTTTCTTTTTTCTTTTTAATCGCGTTGAAAATACCACCTTCACCTATTATTTTCTGTTTTTGCGCCATTATTAGAGTGAAAGACTACAAGAATAATTTAAATTTATTAGAATCTTTAATCATTGCAGTGGTAGTAATCAATTTGTGGTGTTAAACAGAATACCAGTAACCGAACCTCATGGTCATCGACACCAGTTCACTGCGGGACATAGGCATCTCCTAACCCACGCAAATGAGCGCTCTGTCTTAGGCTTTTCTCGTCCGTTTTTATCATGAGTTACTTGGCAGTAACTGGTTGTAATTTTCATACAAAATAAACGGAGAGCTGCAATTTACAAAAAAAAAAAATGTATTCTGTAAATTAAGAAAAAACATACTACAAACGCAACTCACTTTTCATATACTAAACAAAACTAACAAAAAAAATAATCAAACAATATAATTTTACATTTAAAAAAAAACTAAAGCAATTCTAAATGCGAACAAAAGAACGTTTTACATTGTGACTTTGTCGACAGCAATCAGGTCACGGTTCCTGACTGAAATCATTCGAAGACCTCAAGCCTTCAAGGTCGTCTCCCAAGGTCACGAATAGATACGAGCAGTTGAGCCATCTTATAGATAATTATTACTGCTATACAAAACAATATCAGGGACTCGCACGAATGGTGTGATTTATCGTAAAATATCACCTTAAAGATCGAAAAAGGCATATCGGAAATTCCTTAAAAGCTTATTCTAGGTATTCAGTGTACGCAGTACGGTCACAAGAACTGGGTCGAAATTGGGCAGGTACCACTGTTTTCATATTTTCTGAATTCATAGTATTCGATTTCCTTTAACGATTTGCGTTCGTATGCGTTTATTAGGTACATACATAATAACCTAAGGCATTAAGTCTTGTTCCAATATTAACGCACTTTTAGTACCCATTAGTATAGGCGAAGCGACTTAAATGTTAAGCATTAGGCCACGAACGCTTCGTAACGAAACGTGAATCGTGTTCATTAGTGGTCAAGGCTGACGGTCTGCCGCAATGTAATGATTAGTGTTATTAGTATTGATAGATATTAATACGTCCGCGTTATAGACGATGGCGGTAGTTTAACACTTAATTTTCTTCCGACTTAACACTTACTTCGTGTTCTTGTAATTGTTTAAACTAAATCATGCTCGCAATCGTCTCTGTACTCTCTTGGCGGATCTTCTCAGTGGGTCGCGTTTCCGATCCGGTGGTAGATTCTGCGAAGCACTGCTCTTGCTAGGGTCAGTGTTACCATCACTCCGGTATGAGCCCCGTGAGCTCACCTACTAGTTAAGGTTACGCTGAAATAGCCCGTCAAGGCTATCAGTTTAGGTAGGAAAAAAAAGTAGTCTCGATTGTGTTGAACAAGAGTTGTCCACCCTTAAATCTCGGACTGTTTCGTGGCAAAAACAGCCAACGAATACAGTTATCTACCGATGCAAGCTCGGGGTACACATAAAATTTAGACAGCAAATTCAAGAAACAATATTATAAATTAAAAAGAATGTGCATACTCACTTTGATTTTTATTCCCCATTTTATAATAAGAGTAAAAGTTCAAGTCAACAATATTTACACGGCCACGTTGCCACTCACATGCCACATGCCATCTTCATGACTAATGTATTCATTTTTATTAATCACACATCACACTCCTATTAATTAAACTATATATTCTTTA